ACAACGAGACACAGCCGAGAGAGAGAGACAGAGAGAGAGAGAGAGAGAGAGAGAGAGAGAGAGAGAGACAGAGAGAGAGAGAGAGAGAGAGAGAGAGAGAGAGAGAGAGAAAGAGAGAGAGATCCTGGACAGAGATGCTTGGGAACGGAAGGAGATTTCCTTGGGGAGGAGGTTTGTCGTGGCATCCTGTATCGATTACAATGAGGAAAGTCATGAGTTTGTCGCGAGATTTCGACGCGTAACTTTGTCGCGTGACTTTAACGTCGTCCGTATCGTCATCGTCACTGCGGTAAACATCATCATCATCGTTATTAATGTTGTCGTCGTCATCGTCATCATCGCAGCTGCAGCATCGTCATCACAATAATCATTTCCATCGTCATTAACGTCGAGAAATACGGTAAAAACTGGGCAAATATCGTGCCTGGGAGGACAATGAGAGAGGAGCTATGTTTATAAAGAGGAAAGAGAGTGAGAGAGGATGGGCAGTGAGAGAGAAGGGACAATGAGAGAGGAGCTATGTTTATAAAGAGGAAAGAGAGTGAAAGAGGAGGGGCAGTGAGAGAGAAGGGACAGTGAGAGAGGAAGCGTCCACTCCTGCTACAGCTGGATCACATCGTTACTTACAGTTCTAACTCTCTCGCAGCACAAGAAAGAGAGTGACATGCAAGAAAACCTGTGTCCGAAAATACTCTGGTGATGATGATGCTGATGATGACGATGACGATGATGCTGATGATGATGATGATGACGACGTCGACAATGACGCTGCTGCTGCGCGTGCTCATGATGACGATGAGCCAGGGGCAGCAGCGCCATGGCTGTCCAGGGGCTAGCCGCTACACCCCCCCCCCTCCACACACACACACACACACACACACCCGTACACACACGCACATGCACACGCACGCACGCACACACACGCACGCACGCACACACGCACGCACGCACACACACACACACACACACACACACACACACACAAACACACACGCCACCGACAATTCTTGTAAGCACTTCAAATGATTCTAAAACCTAAGCTAAGGAATACTGGCCAACCTGCTACCTGTGAAAGTAACTTCACCGAGCTCGCCTCTTCAATCTACTTAGAAATAAGGGTCCTAAGGAAGTAGTGCACTACTTGTAATTATTTCTTCCATGCTCAGCAGAGATTTGATATACCACCACATTTCCCTCCCCCTCTCCCAAAAAAGTACATAATATTTACGTTGATCCCAAGGTCCGCCCGAGAAAAAAAATAAACGCCCTGGGTCTATTTTTAAATTTTTTCGACGTTTTTTGCTCATGCCCTGCTGTGATGCGTAGAAAGCATAGATAAGATATTCAGCGGATCATCATGATCGGGGGGGGGGGGGTGGTTCCGTGAAGGGGTGGATCGGGGATTTTTAAATTGGGGCGTGGGGTGTTGTGCCGTGAGGGGTGGATCCGGGGTTTTTAAATTGGGGTGGGGGTTGTTCCGTGAAGGGGTGAATCAGGGATTTTTTAATTGGTGTGGCGATAGCTACGGGTGTATGCCTTTATAAAATGTTTCAGTATTGCAGTTAGAGTTTGTAGCGGGAAGGGACGTGAAATCGAAGGCTGAGCAAGTCTAATGGTAGACCACTGACTGTTTCACATGTCGCAGGCTCAATTGAATTCTGGCAAATGAGTAAAACGTGTCAGTCACGCATATTTCCTAACTCGTAGCTGACAGCGACAGATTCATGTATCCACGCGTTGTTCTATTTAGTTCATGTTTTCTTTCGATGAGTACTGTAACGTTTTCTGCTGTCTAAAGTGGAAGGACGGCTAGCCCCACAATCCTCCCTCCCCACAACCCTCCCTCCCCCACAACCCTCCCTCCCCCACAACCCACCCTCCCCCACAACCCACCCTCCCCCACAACCCTCCCTCCCCCACAACCCACCCTCCCCCACAACCTCCCTCAACAGCTTGAGCGTAGCTTTCTAAAATATCTTTCGCAAGCGCGTTACCTGCTTTGAACGCTGCTTCAAGACGGCTGGTATCTGCGTCA